GGTAAGCGCCAGATACTTAACCTCTGTGGCGACATTGATACGACCCCGTCTAAGGTCAAGTTCCTCATCCCCTGGAGTTTTCGTTTCTTGGTGAAGGGGACTATAGCTGTCTTAGAAGGGTTGATATTTAAACCTACGTCTGCGCACCACTTTTTTGCAAGGTTAAGACCTCTTAGGATGATGTAGACTGACTGAGTACTCCTCCCAGTTCCCGATGCGCTTTACCCTATTGAAGATCCTACGCAGCTCTTTCCTAAGAACTGAGAGTTCCGATGATCACCAGGGAGGCTAAGCCCTTCCCTTTGGCTTTGACACGGGATAGCTGGAGGTAAAGGCATCCAAATTACTGCCGTTCAGCCTGTTGACCCTGTCTTCTAACTCTATACAACCCACCTTTCTCTTTTGTGCTTTTATCTTAGTTAGATTCAACCTAAGTACCTCCTCGTATTTAGCTCAGTCTGTTTTCTGTTGTTGATGCTGACGTACGATGCCTCATCGATACCCAGGTTGAGCCTGAGACCGTTGTCTTCAGCGCCGCATGAAACCAACTTCCACGCAGACGTGTGGACGCCCTCGTTCTGGGCCTGGATGAGCCCCAGCACGTACTCAGCCGATTTCTCGGCGCATCTTGGATGGAACATCGAGATATTATGCACCGGTGGGATGTCCTAACCCCTATTGGTGCATAACACGGGCCCCTCCCACTCCTCAATGTTAGGTGTCTTATCTGCCAGCCATGCTGCGGTCCGCTCATCCTTGCAGCCCACAAGGAGCATGCCTGATCTGAAGAATACCCCACAAAAGACCAGTGGGTGCATCCACCCCTTAAGGACCTCGTCCATAATGGCATCCTGGATTTTGGTTAGGTCCTCAGGGCATAGGGCAGCAGCAGGGTAATCACAGACCAGCACCGCCACCCGGATGCCTTTAAGAGCATACGAATAGCTAGGCTGCTTAGTGGTACCCTCCTGTGGCCGACCCTGGCCCGCAGATCCATCCAAGCCCCTAGACTCTGTCGGAGGGGGTGTTGATGTAACTGTTATGGTACCTGTGGATTCCCTCCTTCTCCGCCATTTGGTGGGCGCAAGTTTCTGCTGTTGTTGCCCGCTTCTCTGCTTTTCAGCAGGCGCGGGTAGTTCAACTGTGTCATCTCTTCTGCATACCAGCAGTTGCAGACGTGTTACCTCTGCGTTTTTTCTCTTCTCGCTCTAGTACCTCCTTCTCCACATCTTGTCTTACCACCGCCATAGCGCGGGCTGCCTTCGGCGTCTTCCCCTGCTCCCGGTACCGGAGATACCACTTGACTCCCGACCCTCCAAGGCCAGCTCGATGGTGGTCATCAAGGGCTCCCGGTCGACCGGAGGGGGTAATGGAGGCGGTCTACACCTACGGCTTCTCTCCGTGCTATCTTGCAGCTTCCACCCTCACTCACGCGATGAGGTACGACTGGGAGACCTGCGGCGCCTGCGTCTAGAGCGGTGCCTGCTGCTAGAGCATTGCCTGCTGCTGGAGCGATACCTGCTCTTCGAGCGATGCCGACCCTTGGATCGGCCTCGGCTCCCGGAGTGGTCACGACTGCCGGAGCGACGCCGACTATCAGCTCTGTTCCTGCTTGCGAAGCGGTGCCTGCATTCCGGGGTCAGAGTATCTGCTCCCTTAGTGCCTTCTACCTGAAGCTGCGCCCGATCCACGCCGCACTATGGGCTAAATCACATTTTTTTGTTTAAAATCTAATATAACGAGAAGGAAAAGAGCTAGCGCAATAATTTTTTGTGTGAATAAAGTTCAAGTTATGTCGGTTAAAGGAAAACTAAAGCGAACGTCAACACGCTTTACTTGAGGGGTTAAAATGAGGGGCGAAGTTGACCATGTTCAAAAAATTTATGACCTTTCGATTTTCTTTTTGCTGTATCTCAGAGGCGAATCACGATATCGATACAATTTTTATTTTAAATAGCAGTAAATGAAATGTACATTAAGAAAAGGCTTATAAAAAAAAAACCTTATAAAGTGTTTTCATAGGTGCCGAAAACGATTCCTATAATTACTTCTGCAAGGATTGATTTATTGGGATATCATCAACCCTTCATTTGGAGGTTAAAATAACGGGTAAGTTGCTGAAAACAAGAAAATTCTAGAAATCGATGTCCTTTCGCTTTTCTTTTTGCTGTATCTCAAAGGAAAATCATGATACCGATACAATTTTTTTTTTTTAATTGTAGTAAATTTAATATAGATTAAGGAAAAGCTTATTAGGATACCATCAACCCCTAAATTAGGGGTTGAAATAAGGGGTGAATGGCTAATACCCAGAAAATTCACTGAAAAACATTCTAAAGTGTTTTCATAGGAGGCGAAAACAATTTCCAAAATTATTTCTGCAAGGTGTATTTTATTGGGATACCATCAACCCCTAAATTAGAATTAGAAATATGAACGAAATCGGACCAAAAATACTGGTTTACCAAATATATCGACTCGATGGAATTTTTCGTGGTATTATTCCTTTTAATGTAGTTAATTTACGCGCTAAGTATCAACCAAATCGGACTATAAATACGGGTTTTTCCTGCGCCGCCTATCGAATTAATTCATCTTTTGTATTGCATTGTCAACGGGTTCTGAGTCAACTGTGAAGTTTCAAGTCTCTAGGTCGTCATCGCGAAGTTGCTCAAAATTGATACATATAATGAAGGTTTCCTTGTGCTGGAGTTGGCCTAGTTCTCGAATCGAACAGTAACCTTTTCCACATTCTTTATCAAAAGTGAGAATCGAAAAAAAAAATTGTTTTTCAATCATTTTCGAATTGTTAACCCTGCCCAATATTTACTGGGATCCTTACCGATTTCAAACTTATGCCGAGGTGATCGGTTTCTGGAATATGGGTGTATAAAAACAGAAACAAATTATTGAAATAAACACAAATGATCAATCGCTATATTTTTTTTATTTTCAAAAGTATACAAATTATTGTTCACCAATATTTCTAATATACATACATACATACTACAAACAATTTAATTTATTCCTGTTACTGCATAATTTATAACATTTTTTATACATACATGTCGTCCACTTACAAACTACTTGGAACTTAGCCTAAACTAATTTAAATGTTATTTACAATAAATCGATTCTAATGCACCGGTTACTTGTATACTTGTATATATACATATGTATGCATGGGTAGGTAGGTAGGTATGTATGCAGACATGTGTATGCATGTATAAAATGTGTACATATGTTTTATCAGCAGATATTCTGTTGTTTTTGTAAATGAGTTTTATAAAGGAGGTATTTCATAAGGTATACCGCTAGAGGTATTTTGATTTGTTGTGCTATCCAGCTTGTGCTTTCATAAACTTGCATTTCTCATTTGGGGATATTCTTTCAAAAACGTGCTTTTTAGGGCTGTTTGCAAGTTGATCGAATTCTACAAATTTAAATACAACTATTAAATGAATTAAATATATATTGATAATTTACAACAAATGTATCTACATATAAGTGGCTGTCCCGAAAATTTGAGCAATTTCTAGCAATAAGTTTTGGGCAGTTAAATTTAGGATAAAAGTAATATATTGTGTCTGCATTGCCGACACTTTCCAGTGATTTAGGATTTCATCAATTCAGGTGCATAACCCAATTATATGAAATATGCATAAAAAGTTGAGGATAAACCATTATAACTGCATTCAAGTATGTTCATGTTTAATAAAGTGATCCAAACTGCGAGCAGTCCGAGAGTAAATCTTTATTGGAAGTCTATAAAAAGGCCAAATTTAGGAGCGCCGTTATCGACTCAATGTTATATGCACGGAGTCGGTATACGACGATAACGATGCTTAACTGGGGATTAGTGTTAACCAGACATGGTGAAAATGGCCCCAAGACTAAATACTTATTGAATACTTCTAGCTGTATCATTCTTTAGACCTAGTCTTTTAAACCTTGCACTGTGTATGACATTCTCCCTCTCTTCTTATTTGGCGCTGTAAGGGCCTAAGCGATTTTGGCCGAGTTCAACACAGCACACCAGTCGTTTCTTTTCTATGCCAGCTGAAGCCAATTGGAAATGCCAAGTGAAGCCAAGTCCTTCTCTACCTGGTTTTTCCATCGCAATGGGGGCCTCCCTCTTCTTCTGTAGCAGGTACCAAGTTGAATAATTTTGGAGCTGGAGCGTTGGAGTCCATTCGAACTACATAGCCAATCCAGCGGAGCCGCTTTATGGTACAAAAAAATTCCATTTTGGAANATCGCAATGGGGGCCTCCCTCTTCTTCTGTAGCAGGTACCAAGTTGAATACTTTTGGAGCTGGAGCGTTGGAGTCCATTCGAACTACATAGCCAATCCAGCGGAGCCGCTTTATGGTACAAAAAAATTCCATTTTGGATTTTTCATCGGGGCACCCTCCTAAAATGTTTATTTTTCCCATTGGAATAACATGTAGGAAAATTAGGTCTTCTCTTTTGAGGCCAATATAATTTTCTCGAATCAATCAACACGCTCGAAACTATAGGATCAGATTTTTTAATGATCAAAGCGGTCATTCATAACATTCAAATCATGTCGAAAAAATTAAAATCACTAAATAACGATTATTTTCGATGTCCGGCAGATGCTCTTAGCTAGTTATTTAGTAAAGGATAAATGTGTTTGTTGTATTTTTTCTCGTTTTTATTCAATGAAAGGAAAATTTATTAAGTCCAAAATAAGTTCCGAAAATTCGATAAGNATTTTTTAATGATCAAAGCGGTCATTCATAACATTCAAATCATGTCGAAAAAATTAAAATCACTAAATAACGATTATTTTCGATGTCCGGCAGATGCTCTTAGCTAGTTATTTAGTAAAGGATAAATGTGTTTGTTGTATTTTTTCTCGTTTTTATTCAATGAAAGGAAAATTTATTAAGTCCAAAATAAGTTCCGAAAATTCGATAAGGCCAAAATCGTACGAAATCTTTTAATAAAGATCGAATCCCCCTGATTCGTGGACAACATCAACAAATTCTAATGCAGGTATGGCATTTTATCCCATATACATGCATATATATCGCATACCCTCTTCGAAAGAAGCATAACTCAAAAAAAAAATTTATAAATTTTTTTGCATAAATTAATTCGTAGAATTTATCTCCAATTAATGCATATCATTTTTTCTTTATTATTTCCTCAAACTAGAAAACTACTGCTATAACTATTTTTGTATTGATTTCCTTGAATCCGTATGATACACAAGCAGTTATATTTCCGTACTTGATTTTTGAGTTGTGCCTCTTTTGAAAAGTGTGTGCAATTGTACAAATTTTAGAAAATGCGATAGCATGATTTCGTTATACATAAATCAAAGTAAGATTATTTGTATATCCATGAAGAAATGCATTTCACTTGTGTTGAATTTCATATAGCAATACTACATAATAACAAGCATAAAAAATTTAAAATGAAACAGTGGCATATTCTCTATTTTTTCAAACAAATTTCTAATATATTATAACAAAAAAAGTTCACTTAAAGTGTTTAACTATTACAGATATTCGTTTATGCAATGTATGCTAGTACTTATACTAATCACTAATTTTTCTTTACTTAAACACAATTGTACTAAGTAGTATGCTGCCTGATATTGAATAGTTACATTAAATCTTAAATGTAACAAACATGTTTATAATAACAAATTTCCATTGATTGTATTTCTTTGAATTAGAACGTTACTGTTCGCAAGTTTTGGAATTCAATTTCAAATGCGAACGGCAATTAAAAAAAAAATTCGAAATTTTTGAGTTCATTACATTACTGTAATTTAATTTAATATTTCATGTACTATTTCAAATCCGAATTCGTAAACAAAGTTTATAGTTAGTATCAAATTCGATATACATATGTATGTACATATTGTGCCGTATGTACAAAACTAAGCAATCTCTTTTTCTTAAAATTCCAGACCTTTAACATAAATTTTTTTAATAAATCGAGAAAAAGATCTGAAATTAAAAAAGCAATTGCTCAGTTTTTATTTATACGGCCCATTAAAATACTTAAAACCATTGCAAGCCCCAAATGTCCTTTATTCCACAATCACCGCCACCGTTGCAGATATTAAAATAATTGAACTATGTATATTTTTTTCGCTATAGCTACATACATACATATATTGAGTTTCTGTTTTTACTTATTTGTGCTTTGATCACACCACATTGCTTTCCAATTGCGCATGAGAATTATGTGTACTTATTTACAGGAACTTTCACGTCTTGCGACTCGCACAAATGCGTTCTCACCTGGACACCGGTTCAAGCATCTCTACAAATAATTTTTTTACTGTTATTTTACCCCCATGGCATATGTCTCGCCAGAAGCGACGTAATATACCGTCAGCCTGTCGTAACGCAGGCAGCAGCAAGAGTAATTGTTGCTGATGTGAGACAGCGGATCCGTAACGCAATAAGCACACAACATCGTTTAGTGAATTAAGGATCGTGTCACGAAATGCTCGCAATGAACTTTGGTCATCTAGCAAAATATCACAATTTGATAAAATCAATGCTTTCAGAAGATAATATTCTTCCCGTCGCGGTGACAAACGTTCCAAACGCTGAGCAATTTGCACACAGTGATAGTAAAATTCAGCGTAGCCACACTCCTTAGCTAGCGATTCGTCCATCCATACATCGGTGGCAAAACATAGGCGACCATTAAATGGCACGGAACGGAAACTAAGCTGCAATGTTAGTATTTCCGCCCAGGATACTTGCAAAAGCTTCATTTGGTCGTTGAGGGGCAACTCAGTGAAGCCGGGCAACTGCTTAGCCCAGCCAATTACGCTTACCAGTTCCTTATCATATAGATCACTGAGCACGGAGAGAATTTCGTCTGCGTCGCAATTGTTGTTTTGAAATATGCATGTTGGCTGTAGGGTGGATGTTGTCATGCTGGAAGATATTATCTCGCTGTGGCTACTATTGCTGCCACCACTATTGCAATTATTTTGCTCCAGCTTAATTGTACTACTCTGCGTGACTTTTGTGATGCTTGCATGGCTGCTGCCATCGGTAGTTGTGTGCGGCTGTTCTAGTTGCTGTTGTACCGTAAGTGCGTCCGGCTCGTATGCGTTTAGAATCTCTAGTATTTTGATATCTTCTAATGAGGTACTATTGGATTGGTAAAGGAGCTGCATTGTTTGGTAAGAGTTTGATATGGGATTACGTCGATACTTCTGTCGACCACCACGCACGCGATCCAGTCGCACACCTTCCTGAAGAATGAAATTGAACACATGTATGTTTATAAGTTTCAGCAATAGAAATATTATTAACTACTACATATATGTTCCTATATGGTTGTGCATAAGAATGCCTCATATAAAACGTTTCCTCTTTCCCCAGCAAACTATAAAATTTGATACATTTTGTGTCTCCCACCTACATATTTTGTATCAATTCTCCTCTCCAAAATATGTACCTACATCTAAAAATCGCTTTTACGTTATAAAATGTTTAGCTGGAACTCTTATTTCCAAAAAAAAAAAAAATCATTCAGGATAGCGGAATGAACTCTTGAGAGATCTTAACACTTTTAGAAATACTGGTATAGTTCAATGTATATTTTCTAAAAGTTTTCAATCCAGTATTTAAGGAAACTTAAACAAAAGTTTTGGTTACAAGGGAAATTGAAAGAGCAAAATGACAACTTGTTTTGAGGGAGTTGCAAGTTTTTAGTATTCAGATTTTTACTTTTAACGGTTTGTCAATAAGAAAAACACCGTTGACTTCCTAAGGGGGGAGCTGTAACACAGATAATGGATACTGTTTTTTCGAATTTTAAAGTTAACAAGTAATTTTTACGCAAAAACACAGCCGACTTCAATTCTCATATAAAAATTTATGTGTACCGTTAATTTCTTTACATATGTGTGTATTCAACTAAATATGTATGTATGTATGTACATACGTAGTTTTACTTACCTTCAACATGCCCATAAGTAAACATTTTTGGAAACGACACGCTTGACATGCCTTGCGTCTACGCTTATTAATCTCACATTCATTGTTAGCGGGACATGTGTACTCTATGTTTCCCTGTATGGTGCGTTTAAAAAACGCCTTGCAGGCCTCACAACTAGCGACTCCATAATGGAATCCTGATGCAACATCACCGCATACCAAGCAAAGACGACGCAATTCGTCGCGTATTGAGCCGCCAGTTGTAGCTCCACCGCCACTAATGGTGTTACTGCTGTTAGCTAGAGAATTGCTGTTGCTGCCATTACATTCGCTGCCTTTTAAGGGAGTTGAAGTACTTGTTTCGCAGCTAGTAAAGGCGACCCTCTGCAAATCAGGCGTTAGCGTAGTCGTTGAGCTACACAGCTGTCGCTCTGGGGACACAGAAGGTGATGATTTATTGCCACTGGTGGAAGTGTTCGCACCTGTGCCACCTCCACTTACGACGCTACCACTGCTGGTGCTGCTTGTACTACCGCTGGTTCCATTCGAATACGAATTCGACCGATTTACACCGAATGTGGTGGAGGTGGTCGGACTGCAACATGAGGTGCTTATGTCCAACTCCTGTTTTATGTGCAGCACACTGCCGTCAGACATTTTAGGAATTGCTGTTCCTTTCGTTGAGCTTTAGTTATCTGAGTTTGTATGATACTGCGGTCTTGAACCTTCAAACGCCTATTTGAGGAATAGAAAAATTTATTAATAAATAGAGAATACACGATAAAGAATTAAGACGATAACAATTACTTTAAATACATTTGTACATACATATGTATGTATGTATGCACAGTTCTACATATCATCATATACTTGAGACTTCAGTGCTAAAAAGGTTATTTCACAAACCTTGAAATGACATTCAGGTAAGCTCACTTACAAATATCAGTGCGCTTCGAGCCATGAGAAGGTCTACTATTTTGAAGAAACACACAAATATTTAATTGGGTTACAGAAGAACTCATTTATGCACAAATTAATGATTAGCCATCGAAAATATTTAAAACACAGACAATGGCCAATCATAATCAGCGTAGATCATTGTGCTAAACAAATCCAGTTTTGAATGAGAAAAATGTTACAGTAGCATATTACAGAAAAAATAGGTGATATTAATTATAAAGATGTAATCTTCCTTCATTCATGCTGATAACACACCATCGCAAACATAAAGCTAAGCGGTAAAACCACAAAAGCAAGTGCAATTAAAATGTGGAAGTATGGCATACATATCTACATATATGTACATACATATATATATACATACATAAATATATAATACATAAGGGTGGCTCTTATTTCAAAGTGTCTAAATTCTCTTTTTCACTCCTAGAAATATGTGAATATACCAAATGCACAAATACAAAGTTTTAGAGGAATTGAGAAAAATGTAGAAAAATTATAGGTTCATTCCTTATCTTTTTGGACTAAAATCTGAAAAGTGTCANATACAAAGTTTTAGAGGAATTGAGAAAAATGTAGAAAAATTATGATTTTTGGACGAACTGTCATAAAAATAATCCCTCGAAAATTTTATTTAAAAATTTTAATGTAGTTGACTGATTAATCCTTGATAATACGTATGTGTAAACAAATGGTTCCATTTGAAAAGAAAATCTTAACTAATAGCCAAATATAAATTTAGCTTAGTAAGTAGGGTGGAGTACATACCAAACTTACATTTTATTGACTTGTTTTTACACAAATGGCAGAATATTAACACAAAATTTGACTACCATTTTCTTACTACAAAAATATGTAGAACAGGCTTATAAAAAATTATGCCAGAAGCATGAATGTGTAAATTTACCAATTTGGAGTTATTGGGTTGACTTAATAACCTTTGGATGTTCTATGTTAACGGTGGGCAATCGCGGATCTTTGAGCCAAATGAGGCTCTTTGCTTAGCAAAGTGCCGCTCTTTTTATTTTCTTTTTGCTTGGAATATTTTGGCTATTTGTGTTGTTTTTATTTTTTTATTTTTATCCATTTTATATAAAGGGTGAGCACACCAAAACTGAGACACTTAGAAATTACTACCAGAAACAAACTAGATGGCTTTGAAATTATTATTTTTTATATTATATAACTTGGAAGTTTAGATGTTATTAAAATGTTAAAATATTAGTTACTAGCAGACCCGGCGAACTTCGTCCCGCCCAAAATTTTTATATATTTTATTGAAACTTTTTGGTCCAACATTTTCACCAACAATTCACGTTTACGATTTTCATTGGCACATTTGTCTGCTAAGATTAAGGTTTGGTGGTCATTTGCCGCTTGAAATAACCTTAGGAAAGTGTTATATCCGTTCTTGAAATTCTCCAGTTGTGCGGCATTTCATAGCACGGTTATTCGCAAAGCGAAATAAATTTTTTCCTCTTCACTCCCTGGCGGCAACAATGACCCGGTTCAATAGTGAATGTCCTAGAAGCTTTACAGTATAGTAGGTGGCAATTTCAAAATGGGTGCGAATCATTGTTCTACAGAAATGCAATATACATATACTTATTTCAGACGAAATACCTTAAAAGTTTGAACGCATAATAATATTGGAAAATCACATCCATTGGGCCAATTGCAACGCAGGAGCGTTCGATATACTCAATGGTGCAACAGGTCGATTTAATCTGACCTTCACGACCCCTTTTCTCACTTGGCTATTTTTAGTAATAGCTCGACTTCAGCACCACTTGGCAGCACGTTTTTGCAATAGTATTGCATACATATTTAAAACATTATCCAAATAGGATCATAAATAAGATTTTTAGTAATAACTCAACTACAGCGCCAACTGTCGGATTAAATTGTGAAACTAAACCATCCAGAGACCCACTCAAACACACAAAAAGTTTCGTTAAAATCCGTACAACCATTTAGGAGGAGATCACTCACAAACACACCTACAGAAGAATAAAAAAAAATCATTCAAAGATAGCTAAAGGTCGGTACGTTTGTAGGCCTCACACCCCTTTTAAAATAGCCCAAATTTTCTCCATGAGTATGGGCTTGATTTCAACTATATACATATCTCCATACGAAGTTCCAGTACTGCACCATAAATACTTTCAGAGATATGCAGTATAATAATTCGATTTATAGCAGGCCACCCTTCCACAGCTGCCCTCTTTCTTCATGAGTATGCGATTGATTTCGTATATCTCAATACCAAGTTCCAGAACTCTACCATGAACACTTCCAAAGATAGGCAGTATGAAAAATTCGGTTTGTATGGAAGATGCCACGCCCCCTTTTCCAATAGTTCCAATTTTTCTCCAAGAGTATGCGATTTATTTCATACATCTCCATACAAAACTCTAGAACTCTACCAAAAAATTTCCAGAGATAAGCAGTATGAAAAATTCGGTTTGTATGGGAGATGTCACACCCCTTTTTACAATAGCTAAAATTTTTCTCCAAGGGTATGCGATTGATTTCCAAAACTCTACCATGCACACTTTCAGAGATATGTAGCATGAGAAATTCGGTTTGTATGGGAAGTGCCACGCCCCCTTTACATATAGATTTTTTTTCAGCCTAAAACCATCCTTGGGACACGTGCGGCAGGTGGCAGCTTCAAACAAATCAGTTCAGGCGCTCTCGAGCCTTGCGAAAACTAACAAACGGCTTTCTAAATATATATTAGTTGAGATATATTATATATTATAATTATATTTTGACAGTATCCGTTGTTTCTGATTGGCCCAAAAAAATCTTGCCTAGTGATGAATTCGCCCCTTGATATGGTCGTTACTTAAAGCTATTTATATTCGAAATTGCATGAAAATTGGAAAACAGGAATCTATAAGCTTATCCAGGCAAAATGTTACCTACTTACCGGTCCCTGGTCCACTTTTCGGACAAAGTGGATCATATATGCATTTTAAGCAAATCGGACCGTAAATTCGATTTTTTCGAATAGATCGGTCCCTGGACCACTTCCCGGAAAAAATGGGTCATATATGCTAATATATGCTAAAAAGCTACTTACGTACTAAATTTTAAGCAAATCGGACCGTAAATTCGATTTTTTCGAATAGATCGGTCCCTGGACCACTTCCCGGAAAAAATGGGTCATATATGCTAATATATGCTAAAAAGCTACTTACGTACTAAATTTTAAGCAAATCGGACCATAATAAGATTTTTTCGAATAGACCGGTCCCTGGTCCACCTACCCGAAAATTTGTTTAGCCTAAAACATGATGGTTGCCGAAAGCTATTTGTATACAAAATTTCATGAAAATCGGACCAGNGAAAATTTGTTTAGCCTAAAACATGATGGTTGCCGAAAGCTATTTGTATACAAAATTTCATGAAAATCGGACCAGCCGTTCGCGAGATTACCTGTTACAAAAAAAAGGGACTTCTCTTTATATAATTAGTATAGATTATTTGCCCCATATGCAAGTGATCGGTATTTTCATCGCACACGCGCCATCATGTTCTGCACGACTGCATCATCGACTTTACGCGATGCGCACAACTACTTTGTTTTGTACTCTTCAATATTTTTCATTGTTTCACCTGTTTTCTTCAAGATTCCTTTGACAATTGACCCAAATTCCCCAATAGGACGTAGCTCTGGGCTATTGGTTGGATTTTATTTATTTGATTTCTCGTTGAGCAATAAGACCAACTTTTAAACTTAACAATTTGAGTAATAAAGCAAAATAGTGCACATATATAGGTAGTCACCCAGTTACATTTGACCAAAAGTAGTACATAAACAAGTTAAACGGGCGGATTTGTAAGTATAAGTATTGTAAGTGCCCAACGTCGTGGCGGTCCGCGTTCGACGTAGCGCTCGCGTCCTCCGCCCCCTCCCCTCCTTTCGCAATTATGCAAATGACACTAGTTCACTTCTGAAACTGCTCTTTTAATGTCCAAGTAATGGGGATTATTGCGTATGGTGTTATTGCATGCACCCCACCCATGGTGGAATTATACCAGGTTAAGTAATATTAGAGTGAGAAGAAAGATTTTGACACTACCTTATTTGAAAAATTGCCTATAAAATGTGACTATAAGGCAGCCGAACATTAGAAAATAAAGCGAGAAAGCTGTTTTATTACTTCACCTGTTTATTGCGCCATTCATCCCACCTGCTTGTACCGAGTATACGTTCAAATCTAGAAGTCTGAGAGTTGGTAAAATTTTACATATTTTTGCATCACTACTTCGTACCACATGTTCGCTTCGTCTTCGTAAACGATATCCACATTTCGGATATGGTGAAACATGTGAAGATAATGCAGAAATTTTAACTGAAGATACTACTCAAAACAATATTTTCTGTGTTATATGCTGCGAACAGGAACGGCAACTTTTGTTTGTTTCATGCCATAGCGGAATTATAAATACCAGGTGAAGTAATTAGAGCGAGAAGAAAGATTTTGGCACTGCCTTATTTGAAAAATTGCCTTTCAAATTTGACTATAAGGCAGCCGAATAGCAGAAAATAAAGCGAGAAANTTTGGCACTGCCTTATTTGAAAAATTGCTTTTCAAATTTGACTATAAGGCAGCCGAATAGCAGAAAATAAAGCGAGAAAGCTGGTTTATAAATTCACCTGTTTATTGCGTCATGGTTCCATGCAAACATTTTAAGGTTTTCCAGCAATATTTTCAACACATTTAAAAAAGCATGCAGATAAAATCCATGCAAAAGCG